TCATTAACAAACTGAAAACATCCTTCAGCATTATAATGATTCAACATAGTATCCATTATAGTATGAAAGCTAAGCTTAGATGATATGCGCTCCATGATTTTATTATCTTTTTTACCCACTATTAAATGTGCGGAAAATAAAGTATCTTTTTCAGCATTATCTTTATCAATTACTTTAAATACTTCAGTCGAATTGGTTGATTTGCCTGCCATTTGTAATTTGATAATGTCCAATTGATTGATAAATTTGATAATGTGTACTTAGGATTACCTATATAAAACTGATGTGCTAATGTAAATGTTGATGAGTCTGGTGAGATAGAGAATAAAAAATTGCATAGCCTTGTCCTATCTCTTGCCTTTTATACCTGTTGTCCTAATAGATAAACAAAATGTCTAAAAAATATTTATACTAATAGAAAATAATAAAAATGGGTGGTCACAGATAAAAAAATTAGACCCAACCAATTTTTTATTTTACTCCCATTCTAATAATATATTATTTTTACATTATTTTGGCATTATAATTTATTTTCCAATAAAAACTTTAAATGACTTATAATTGTATAAACTTATTTAAAAGCATTTTTATCTATGCATCTATTGCAACAAAAAATAAAATAAGGAGTATATTATACTCCCATGTGTTGCTTTCAACTGCTCAGCTGCTCATTCGCCCTCCATATCTTGGCATTATTTGGTGTCACTCTAGCAAAAACTGCACAAAAATTGTAAAAAAAAAAAGCTAATTTATTTGTAGCAAAATAGTAGACAATTATCTATTATTACAAAATTTTACACAATTTTATTTTAAGTCTTGGCATTTTTCTGTTTCAAGTGTTGAAAATAAAAAATAATAATATAAGGATAATTATTTTCCACGCTCTATAATTCTTGCCAAGCCTTTATCATTTTTAATTTTTACATTTTGTAATGTACAAAATTTATTGAAACAAAAAACTATTTAACTGACCTTTAGAATGTCTCATCCGCGTAAAATAGCCAACTTTTTTTATAGAAAGCCAAAATCAATTTTTTGCAGTGAAAGCAGCTGTTGAGACTAAATATGCATGTGGTATGAATATGCATGTTTGGTTGAATTTGAAGATTAGCAGATATTATTTATTAAGATAGTGTGCAGCCCAATTATTGGCCCGGATCTATATTATTATTTTTTAGACAAATAAGCAAAATCTATACCATCAGAGGTCTCTATACCCCTTGTTAGCGAGTGAATCCAATTAATGTAATCATAAAACTATCTTCAAAAATTAGGAAAAAAGAGAAGCAATAGAACTAACAAATGTTGTTGTTTTGCCTTTTTTATGACTGTGAGCCTTGGTGCTCGCAAAGAAAAGGGCGACTGATGGGTGTTAGGCTACAAAGGAAGTGTGTGCCCAACAAAAGCACTCATTCACTATTTTTGTAAATAGTCTTGCGCAAACCTTTTTGGATTGGAAGTATTGTCGGGTTGCATAGCATTAATTCTGCTAAAGGTAGCCCTCCCTTCTATTTACCTTTCTACGAGTCCACACAATTATTGTAATACTTTATTCAAATACTCCACTCGACTAACCCTTAATAGAACTATAATAAACAGTAGTGGAATGTACAAGAAAATTATATAGCAAAAATCTATATTAATTGCTCATCTTCTCTTCATATTTTTTTCAACAGATTGTTATGAGAGGAGGTGAGCACTACGGTGGTAGTGTTAGAAAAGTGAGGTTTTATAAAAGGTTTTATTACTAATGTTTCTAAAGTGCTACTAGTGCCAGCCTAATATTATATATGTGTCTCGTTGCCTTTGTTGTGCACATTGCCCATTGTGTACTCTGTTGGTGAGAACTGGCTCTCCTATGAGCAGACCGGTATCTTGGCAAGTCAATGTTGTGGTTTTTGTATACGTGTGCACTCACGCGCGTGCATTACAAAATAGGGAGCATGTCTGGACATCATTATAATGCCACCCTAATTTACGCCTGCATAATCCAATTAGTGCCCTATCAACCGGAATGCAGATGGAAACTTGTTTCGCGATTCTCAACCTCGACACCCACTTCCATATCTTTGGGCTGCGCAAAATTACACTAACTTAGAACCACTAAACTTTATAATACCAATTTTAATCATACATTATCACAACAATATACCTATAATGTTTTTAAATATGCCAAACCTTAATATATATAATCTACTCTATACCAGTACTAGAGATAAACACTGTTATAGTAAGGGGGTGTGAGGAGCACTAGTGTCTAGTGTTAAAAGGTAGGGGTGATTTTATAAAAGGTTTTATTACTAATGTTTCTAAAATACTGCTAGGGCCGGCCTCATCTAATATATGTGCCCTGTCGCCTTTGTGCACATTGTCAATTGTGCGCTCCGTTGGTGAGAACTGAATCTTCTGCGAGCAGACCGGTATCTCGGCAAGTCAATGTTGAGGTTTTCGTGCGTGTACGCTCATGCGTGTGCATTGCAAAATGGGGAGCATGTTTGGGCATCAATTTAATGCCTCCCTAATTTACGCCTGTATTATCCAATTAGCATCCTATCAATCGGCACGCGGGTGGAAACCTGTTTCGCGATTTTCGACCTAACATCCACTTCCATATCTTCAGTCTGTGCAACAACACCAAACAGTAAAGGCTATTCCTATCCCTTTGGCAACTACAACATATGGTTTTTTTTAGATATTATTAAAAAGGATTTAATAATTTGTGACAAATGTACAAGATTGGAAGCCGACGGTATTGTGTATGCACTTTTTATGTGTGACAAGAAGCATTATATAGAATATGAAAAAATAATAGATGACCCAAAAATTACTACCATTATTGAGCATGTTAGAGGTATGATTAAGCGTTGGAAAGTTGAAAATATAAGCGATATACTTTTTTGAATCAAGAATATGTAGGAGATAAGCTTGTCAGCACACGTTTTTTCATTTGATAATGTTGATTTTATTTAGTAATTAGAAATGGGTTTTTTTAAATTAATTTAGACTATTTGCGTTTAAAACTTTGGAGTTTAATTTTGGTGAGCATAGATTAATTGTGACTTTACCAGATATCCAAATACTGGGCCTTAGCCCGAAAATATACTTTTTGAGCAAGGCCAATATGCGACTGGTACTGGTTCACTGCCTCCTCGTAGTCTTTTTTGGCATTCTGGTAATCCACATTGAGTCTACCATGCTAAAGCCACGCGCGGCCAAGCTCCTCTTTAGCCTGAACCACTGACTCCTTATTAATTAAGTCCTCTTTCCCCAATATTGCACAAGCCTGCGAGCTTGACCGTGAGTTGGCCAACAATATTCTGCCAGGTTCTATTCCTATCGTAACTTTCCATTATTTCTTCTTGCGTTTGAATAAGTTGCTTTAACGACTGCGTATTGGGATCATCATCTGCAAACTTGAGCTGGAAGAGCAGATTGCCAGTGACCACTGCGCGCCTGAGAGCAAATCTTTCCTTGGTCTCGCTTGCTATTAGATGGCTTAAATTTTGTTTCAGCTCGTTGATTTCTGCTTAGAGGATGCTTTTTTCGTAGTCAAACATGGTTTTCTTGAAATAAAAGTAATTGAAAAACGTGAAGGAAAATAATGAGAGTAGAAAAAGGATTGGCGAATAAAACCGTGTGCAGAAATAAAAAATAAAAAACAACTTGTGCTGTTATGTATAGTCAGAAATGCAAGGTCGATGCAGGTGTTGCACAAATATTAATATTAATATTAATAGCAACGCTCTTTTTATTAAAGGACAATGCATGCTAGAATACAACAATTGCATGTTTTACAAATAATTTCTCTAGAAAAATTTTCTTAAGCCATGTATTGTTTGTTGAGCTCGCGGCCAATCAGCATTCTCCGGATCTCGCTTGTTCCAGCGCCGATTTCGTAAAGCTTAGCATCGCGTAGGATACGGCCAGTGGGGTAATCATTGATATACCCGTTACCGCCCAAGCACTGGATAGCATCGAGGGCAACCTCAGTGGCACGTTCAGCGCTGTAAAGAATAACGCCGGCGCAGTCTTTATTGCTGACCTTCCCCTGGTCGCACGCCCGGGCGACTGCATAGACGTATGCGCGCGACGCATTGAGCTTTGTGTACATATCAGCCAGCTTCCCCTGCATCAGCTCAAAGGTGCCAATGGGGACGCCAAACTGATGCCGCTCATGAACATACTGCGCTGCAGTATCAACAGCAGCCTGCATAAGGCCAAGGGGTCCGCCCGAAAGTACTAGGCGCTCGAGATCCAGCCCTGACATCAGCACGTAGACGCCGCCGCCTTCGGCGCCCAAAACGTTCTCCGCCGGAACCTCGCAGTCCTCAAACACCAGCTCGCAGGTATTGGACCCGCGCATGCCCAGCTTATCGAGCTTCTGGTGGGTGCTGAACCCCTTGAAGCCGCGCTCAACGATAAATGCGGTGATCTTATTCTTTGCGACATCTGTCTTGGCGTACACAACTAGGGTGTGGGCATCGGGCCCATTGGTGATCCACATTTTGTTTCCGTTCAACACATACTTGTCTCCGCGCTTCTCCGCGCGCAGCCGCATTGACACGACATCGGAACCGGCGCCGGGCTCGGACATAGCGAGGGCGCCAACGTGGTCTCCGGAAATCAGCGGCGGCAGATACTTTGCCCTTTGGGCATCCGTTCCATGGCGGTTGATTTGGTTGACGCACAGGTTGGAGTGCGCGCCGTAGCTCAATGCCACCGACCCCGAAGCGCGCGAGATCTCCTCCATGGCTATAGTGTGCATGAAGTAGCCCAGGTTGACGCCCCCGTGGGCCTCTCCGGCGGTCACACCGAGAAGACCCATGTCTCCGAATTTTTTCCACATGTCCATGGGGAACTCGTTGTCGCGGTCGATTTGGCCAGCGCGTGGAGCTAGCTCGCGCTGCGCAAAGTCAGACACGGCTAAGCGGAACTCCTCCTGCTCGTCGGTGAGCCCGGCGATGGCCGAATTGTACGTGCTCAGTCGCGCGGCTTGCGGGGCATTTCTCTAAGGGTTGGATTAATAGGTAAAATGCTCTGAGTTGTATTGATTTGATTTGATTCGATTCGATGTGATGCGATGTGATGTGATGTGATGTGATGTGATGTGATGTGATGTGATGTGATGTGATGTGATGTGATGTGATGTGATGTGATGTGATGTGATTCGATATAGATTGGTTTGGTTTGGACTCGCAAGCGGTCGGGCTCAAATGAATTGTATTGGACTTGGCTCGGCGCAGACGTGCGGAGACTTACAGCTAACAGGTTTGTACGAGCAGCGGCCGTGGCAGAGGCAGAGGCAGCTGCGTTGGATCGTGCGAGAGATGAAAGGGCGCGGGAAAACATTGGCTTTAATGTAGTTAGTGTTTTAAGAAAAATAAACAGAAAATAAAAATAAAAATAAAAATAGTAACAAAAGCCAAGCTATAATGAAAATGATGAGGAAACAAGTAAATGCAGAAGAGAAGCAAGAGACCAGCTCCAAAGTATAAATACCGCTTACCAACAGGCAACGTAAGCCCAGGGGCGAAAACGAACAAAGTGAGCAAAACATGGCTTTTTTTGAAATGGCGCCTGCCTCATTTTTGCTTGGAAAAAAAGCGACCACTTCAAATGTTCCCACGGCCATTTTGTGCACTGGGTCGCCCATGCAATCCCTTGTATTATGATTCTGTATTCTCGCTTTTTGTTTAGAACAATCCCATGTGACATCAACTCAGTCCGCTCATTTCTGTGCTCCCATTTGTCTGGATATAAAATCGTGGGAAAAAGAACAGACGAGGCCCATCGCTACCATTCAAATTACAAAAAATGAAGCAGACCCTTCCTTTGGTTTGGCTCCTGTGACCAAACAAAAAACAATTTTTGTTACTAAGTTTTACACTTTACAGCATCGCTACTAAGCTTTATCTTTAATCAGTGTCTGGCATGTGTAGCCAAAGTGCCCGTTTAGCAGTTTCGTTGTCCGCCTTTTCCCGCGCCGCCTTCACGCGCTCCTCAAGCATCTCCGCATGTCTCGAGACTTTTCCGCCGCCGTGAGTCAGCCGCAAAATCAAATTCATCGCGCTCCCTCGCGTAAACCCACCAGCCCGCAAAGGAGAAGAGGCAGGCTTGGTATTCCCAGCCCTCGAGGAAGAAAAAGAAGACGAAGAGGCAGGCTTCGCATCCCCAGCCCTTGCTCCACTCTCCCGAGGCTCAAAGCTCTTCCGCTGCACAACCTTGCCCACAACCGACCTGGGCAAGGCGTTGTTATATTCACCCTTGGGCACGCGCAATCCGAGCCTCGCCAGGGCACCGATCTGCGCTTCAGTAGGCGGCAACGCGCGCCAAGCCGCAGTCCACTTGAGCGTATCCAGCTGGTACCTCTGCACAGTAGCACGCACCATAGAGTCAACGCCATGAACGGCATGGTCGAGCGTCGGCGACATGAGGCCGAGCGGCTTTTCCACACTGTAGAGAAACTTTCTGCTCTCAACCCCAGCCACCACCAGCCGCTTGCGCTTGGTGCCCTGCCAGAGGTTGGTTTTCGGGTCGCGCGTGAGAAAAAATAAGTTGCTGCTCTGGCTCAGCAAGTAGCGGTCATACGAGATACATACCCACGAGAACGAGCTGAGCCTGCGCAGGTTGCGGCTACCGCAGGACAGCGCGTCCAGCTGCTGGCACCTGTCCACTTGCGCTGTGTCTGGGATCTGGCCTTGGAGCGTGAAGAAGCCCAACGGGTCGAGCTGCTCCTTGGCGCGAAACCCAATGGCCTCCAGCGAGTCCGGCAGCTCGCCGCCCAGGGCCAATGGCTCACCGGCGTCCGCCGCGTGCACCTCGTTTTGCTCAAAGACCCGCTGGTTCTCCATAATGCCACTGAGCTCGCGCTCGTCCTCGCTCATCGCCTCGGGCTCCAGGCCATGAAACACAAAGTCGCGGTTCTGTTTGTCCAAGGCATCTGCATCCAGAATGTCAGTCTCCTTAAGGACCAGCGCAGGGTCAAGCCCGAGCAGCGTGGGCACGGTGACTTGCGTCAGATCCCTTTTGAACGAGTCGACAAAGTCTACCACAAGGCAGTCTGCTTTCCCGGGAAACAAGCGCATCCCGCGGCCGATCATCTGCTGGAACAGCACAGCGCTTTTCGTCGGCCTGGCCATCATGATGCAGTCGATGTTTGGAATGTCCGTGCCCTCGGTCAGGATTCCGCAGTTGACCAGGACGCCCAAAGTGCCGGCGCGGAACTCGGCCAAAAGCCGCTCGCGCTCGGCCACCGGCGTCGTGCCCAGGACGGCAGCGGCCGGCACGCCAAAGTGCACAAACGCCAGCGCCAGGTCCTTGGCGTGCCTGACATCAACGGCGAAAACCAACGTGCTGCGACGGCCCGCTGCCAGCGTCTGGTGCGCCTTGACCACCGCCACGTTGCGCTCCTCGGTGTTCACCGCGGAGCTCAGCGCGCCTGGGGCAAAGTCCCCAGCATACGACCGGATGCCCTCCAGCCGACCGCCGGTGCGCACCGTAACCAGCCGCAAGCTGGCCAGCCACCGGTCCTTGATCATCTGCACAAAATGCCTCTGGAAGGTGATCTCGTCAAACACCCCCGTCAGCCGCAGCCCGTCCGCGCGATACAGCGTTGCCGAGCACCCCCAGACAAATAAATCACCCGTGCAGTCGAAGTACTCGACAATCCGCGCGTAAGACTCCGCCGCCGCATGGTGCGCCTCATCGATAATCACACACTTGAATCTCCGCGGATCATGCCTCTGCAGCCGCTCAGACCCGCGCCGGCCCAGGGTCGGCACGCTGGCAATGATAACGTCCGCTGCAGGGTTGGCTACCCTTGCGCCCTGATCAATCTCCACCACAAGGTGTGGAGCTGCGCGATGGATTTGCTGCGCTGCCTGCACGAGGAGCTCCTCGCGGTGCGCGAGCACGAGGGTTTTTGTCGCTTGTGGGGTTGGGTTGGGAATGCGCTGGAGAAGGCTGGAAAAGATCACAGTTTTACCGCTGCCCACTGGGAGTGACACTGCCTGTCGCCGTATGCCGGCGCTGAGCTTGCTAAGACATTGGTCGATGCATTCGTTTTGGTACGGCCGCAGCGTGTGCGTTGTCTGGTGTCGCCTGGGCTGCTGCTGAAGGGCTTTTGATATGGTGCGGGACTGGGCGCGTAGGCGGAGCGCATAGGATATGTACATTTATTTGGCAGTGTGAATATTGAATGAGAGATAATAATTGATTGAAAGAGGCTGTCTATCGTAAACAAACAAACAAACAAACAAACAAGTTAATAAACAAATGAGGTAATGATTTTATTTCATTCTCTTAAACTTGCTTTAAACAAGCCGAGGCGTTGCGGGTGGATAGGGAAGAGGAATGTAAATGCAGCAGATGAAGAAAAAAACTAAATCTATTCATGATCAAAATAACAACAAATAATCCAAAAAACCTGTTTTAGTTCAATCGGCGGTGATATTACAATTGGGATTGTTATGGCAAAATTATAAATGACCATTATTTAGCTTAATCGGAATAATAATTCAAAAACATATTATGTCTCGTACGATCAACTTTGTTTTTTGTTGTACGTATTGAACGTAAGGATTAGAATAGATTATGAATGTTTTTTCTCAACATATAAATAAATTAAAGACAGATGAAAGATTTACTTGCAGTATACTCTCCCCTTTTTTCATTTACAATAAAACAAATTGCTGCTTGCATCTATCGCTCCTTGCATTAAGCACTATATCGAATGTCTTTTTGTCTATTTCAGAAATTGCCACATTGGAAATAATTGTTGAAAAAGAAACATGATGAAAAAACTTTACCCACCAAATAGATGCATGAATTGGAGGGGGCAAGTAGGTGGGAGAGATGCTGAGTGAGTGAGGAACAGACATCTGGAAAAAAATAGTGGAAAGACGCCTCATTTTTGTCACTTTAGCGCTCTTTTAAAAAATACGTACATTCGCGCAGACGAGGGGCACAAAGAAAAAGAAAAAGACAATCCCTCTTTTATATATATTTCTGTTTTGGTTAGCTTAGAAAGCAAAAAAAAAAAAAACGTTGTTCTCTGAAAGAAAGAAAAAAAAGACCTTATTTTTGTCTTTCATTCTCTTTTCACGTAGTAAAAGTTGATTGTTGTTTAATTTTTATTTTTATTTTCTGTAGGAATTTAAATTTACCTCTTTTTTCTTTCACTTTAGCTTTTTTCTTTCATTTTTTATTGCGCTTTTTTCAATTTTAACATTTATTTTTTTATACTTTTTTCATGGGGGGCGTTCTAGTTTTTCTTGCAACCCACATTATATTATCTTAATTGGCCATAGTGCTCCCGCCTCATTCTTCATTCTTCATTCTTCAGTTCTTTTTATTTATTATTTTTTTTTGTACATTTATTTTTCTATTCAATTCATATACACTTTTATATTATTATTTTCTGTCAATATAAAGAAAGCAGCAGCAGAAAATAAATAAATAAAATGACCAACTCACCACCGTCACCACAAGGCCACCATGAGGCGAGACCAAGGCGGCCGACAATAGTCCAACTGACACCCTCCTCACCAGCACGCAGCACCAAAAGGTACTCAGAAACACCGAGCACATCAAACATTTCCTTTGCCCAGGCACTGTACGAGCCCAACCAGGCACAGCAACAGCAAATACCGCAGCAAAGACAATTTAAGGGTGGAGAAATTGCACAGAGGCCGGAGCAGGGCCGCGACTCAATGACGCCCAGCACGCACAAGGTCGAGACCTCCCCCTATTTCAGCCCTGATTTATCAGCAGCAGCTGGAGGTAGTAGTGGGGGGCAGAAGCGGTATGCGCATGATTACCCGCCGAGAGATGCTGGCATCAAGTTCTCGCCGCCGCTTAAGCCCATGCAGATTCAACAGGCTCCGCTGCTGGCCAGCCAGTCATACTCTCAGCTGAGTCTCTCGGGGAGGTCGCCGCCAATGTCACCCACCAGTGTGCACTCTGCGGGCAGCCCATCAAGGACAGCAGCACAGGTTCTGGGGCGGGAGCAGGCCTCCTCCAACAACAACGGTAGTAGCAGCCAGCACCAGCAGCACCAGCAGCCTAATAGCATCCGGTTTCTGGGTCCGCAGCGCCAAACAGTCATGCGCATGTCGATGAATGAGCGCGTTCCTTTGGTGCAGATCAGCTATGAGGACGCGCCACCGCATGGGCGCGGAAACAGCAATGACACGGACCTGACAGCCAGCCAAACACCACTGCGGCGCGTCCCGCAGCCCGTGGGGCTCTACGAGCCGGTGGACGAGAAGACTCGGCGGAAGCATCCCGGCAGATACACGACCGACGGCCAACGATTGAAGGAGCCGATCTACCAGCTGTACGACCACGACAACTGGCATCCGTTCTGTGGGCGGTCAGTCACGGGCAGTCGGCCAGCGCCGTTTGTCGTCTCGGTGCTGATCATTTCAGCGCCCGTATCGCTTTTTGCTGCTCTGGTGTGTCCCTACCTCTGGGTGCATGTGCATAAGGCTGCGGTTATTGTGTTTGCGTACTTGGCGGCGCTGACCTATGCTTCAATGATGATGTCGTCATTTACAGATCCTGGGATCATCCCACGCAACTTGGACGCGATCACGCCACCCGACAACTACGTGGTGGCTGGTGGCAACTGCAGCAACAATGGGAATTCCAATGGCGGCGCCCAGGCGGCGGAGAAGGCTGAGCCTGGCACGCTGATGAGCAGCGGCGGCGGCGCTGGCGCTGATAATGACGCGGGAGACTCGCTGCGACACAAGCATTCGAAGGACCAGCCGCCGCTGCAGTAC